TTGCGGCGCGTGCATGGGCCTACGCTTCGCTTGATAGCTCGGAAAGAGTGCCGCGGCGCACACTTTTGATCCCGGAAATTGGAAGAAAATTATTTAAGCTTTATCACTATGCACTTTTGTGCATACACATAACCAAGACTTGGAAAGCCATTTTATCATGTGAACCACATGGCCAGTTGTGAAATGTGCGCCGTCGCTGCCATATTTTATACCAGATTTTGGACCTCCGCATACACCTAGGAATCTAAATTTCCTCACCACTGACGTAGGTGGTATTTGTTTCAACGCTAAGCAAGCTTAACTCAGATGACCGTTGCAAATGTATCAGACAGATGTTTCAATTCTTACGCCAACTTACCGAAACAAAAATGTACATCACAAACACAAACAACACATCACATACATCAAAAACATGTGCATCACAAATAAGTATTCAAAGCAAGATTTCAAGCATTGCGCCGGGACAAAAACCTCTCAGCGTAAACAAAAACAAGGACGGGGGTGTTATTGTATATATGAAGAATGACTTATCATGCCTTGAGCCTGAGATCCAAGTCCCAGATGAATATGAAGCTCGCTAAAGCATCCTTCGACCGTCTGAACCAGACAGCATCATACTAGCTTGGGTGTACCTCCCACCTGTTGCAGCTGCGGCTTGCTAACGTGCACTAGTTCATCATCTTCTGAAAAGTGTCGACTTTCTCAGATGTTCACGGCCCAGAACAAGTACTGTCCTATTATGGGATTTCAACTGCGCATTTGAAGTGGATCCACTGACCCGACAGCTCAACCTCCAATAAATAGTGACAATGCCCACCAGAGGATCGGCGATTCTTTGTGAAATATCGAATAATATTGTTTCTCTAAAAACAAACCATTATATCTACCGCCACCTTGGAACCGCGTAACACAGCACTGTAGCACGGATAAATTGTGACCACAAAAAGAGCCCGGCTATTATCACATAGTCATCTGTTAGACAGTTTGGCGACTGGAATTGCTTCCGGGACTGGCAAGATGTCCCTGAGATGCAAGATATTGATAAGGCGGCTGAGATGCATCAGAAAAAGCATTGGCTGGCTTATGAGGATTGTTTCCCTGAAATAACGTACCAGTACACAATTTCTGAGTCACTTGGACGACAAGGCGACTCATGACCCTCATCAACCACCGCAGCAGGGCACACAGCCGTTACCAGATCGGTAAACTAAAGAAATTGACAGAAGATGTATGTCAATAGATTCAGGCCGCGAAGACCAGTTGGTATAAGCGGCGGGTGACAAAGAAATACTGGCGACGGAAATGGGTCATAATGCAGACAAGTAAGAAGCTAAACTAATGGACAGCCCGCTCCTTGGTGCCTGGAATTACCTGAAGCTACATATTACAGCACTACAGCTGAGCTGGCAATCAATGTCTGACGGAAATATGCACACTATTCAGACCTCTTTGTACCGAACAACTGCAGAATTTCTGCCATCAGAAAACATTTAATCTGATCTACAGCCATGACAAGAAGCCTTTAACCTGTCACACATTTGACAAAAGTTGACTGTACCCGCTGGTAAATTACAAGTGCAGCTGCTGAAGGAGTTTCATGTCGAATTGACACCACCGCTTACTTATACATCTGCTAGGTCATTTAAGGAGGGTCAGGTCCCACCGGCACGGAACAGGTTAACCAGAATCCCAATCCTGAAAAGCAACACCGAAGCCACGAGGAGACCTGCGACCTGTGAGGCTTACACCTAATTTTGGCAAAATTCTGGAACGGTTAAATTCCCCCTCCCTTTCATTCTGGCGAACACAAGGCCGCACATAGATGAAAGCCAGTACCGTAATGTAAAGTGCGCCTCAATGTCCCTTCTTGTTAATATTGTGGCACAGCTTATTCTCCGAGTTGGATAAGCCAGACAAACTCATGTCTTTAGTTCTGTAAGATTTCAAGACAAAATTTGACCTCCTTGACCATACACGTTTGTACAAAATATGCTTAGCATGGAACTTCTCTCTGGCTATGTGTGTGTGGTGTTTGGTGTTTGGTGTCATTTCTCCAGGACCGAGAGCAGAGAGTCAAGATGCCGAATTGAACGATTAAGGACTGGAAATCAGTAAATTGTGTCACCGCGCAGGATACCCTGGTTAAACTGGTTGCTTTCTTAGCTATGATGTATGCATATTGAAACGTCCAGAGTTCATGAAGTCCAGTGGTCCAAAATCGCAGCATCCGGCATGCATAACGTCCAGAAATCGTCCCAACCCCCTGGACAGAAGAGAATCATAGAGGCCGGGCTCGCAGCGCCCAGTTTCATAAAGTCCAGCGTTCGTAAAGCTCAGCGTGCGTCACATCCACGGGATGGGATACTGCCCCGCTTCCTCGCAACCCCCGACCTAATGGTTCGGATATTGCCCGATAGAGGGCTACCGGGGTCGATCTCGCCCACCTCAGCCGACGAGTGACGTCATGCGGTACAGTGCTACACAGTTAAACCACTGTGCATGAATATGGACAACGTTTTGTTTGAGCGCATCAACTTTGCCGCGTCAGCGCGCCCTCGGCAGCAGGCGAATAAAAAATTCAAAACTTTGATCCCTGACTCGTGGCATCGGAAATAGCTGGTTTCTCGGCAGTAGCTGCACGGTAATCGTGGAAAGCACTTGCCGGGGTGCTTACTGTTTGGTATTGTGGGCTATAGATAAAATTATCCGCTGTATTTGGTTCCGTTATTTATTGTATGTGTTGGTGATGAAGCTTTTGAAGGACTTTATGACTGATGTGTAAAGCGGACTGACTTGATGTCTGCTCCAGGTAGACGCGCATATGGATCTCCAGCTCCTGGCACGCTTACCTATATTGTTAGTGATTCTGTTTGGCTGATTTCCTGATTTTGATTTCATTTGGCTGACCCCGCCACACGCGCGCGAGGCCTGTGCGTGGGGAAGCCCGTCCGCGGTCGACACACTGCCAGCTCAGTCGGGCACGCCGTCATCTTAGTGTCAGAGCCGGAGGCCCTTGAATCGTTTCGCTCGGTTCGCCGCGGTACACATCCGGCGGACTGGACATCCGGACATGCCGGACATCACGGTATCTCGTTTGTGCTGGACCGGAGCCCCTCCCCCCCCCCCCCCCTCCTTCTGGACAGGCGCCTCAATGGAAGAGCCTCGTGTCAGTCAGGAACTAACATCGGACAGGGTCCCTCTGCCCGTTTTCGCCATGGCCCAAATGCGTCGAACTGGGATCCCTGTGCTTTTTATTAAACCCGCCACGCTTGGGTTCTTTTCTTGATTTCTTCTTGGGTTCAGTCAAACGATCCGCTATTCAGTTGTCTACAGCTATGCAAAATTTGGCGCGGCTACGCCGCGCTGTTCGGAAACCATTCTGGAAAAACCTTCGGGGAGTTCTCGGGTAACCACCCGAGCGCGCGTTGAACACATCTTTAAGGAATCTTTTAAGGGAGTTTGTATCTTCATTGAGCATTTCAGCGACCATTCAGTGATACCTTTCATTTGATTAGTTTCGTTTAATCCATTTTAGGTAAGGAATTGGCATGATATGGGATGTGTCGTTCTTGTTGCAGGGTTCAGTGTGCCGCTAGGTAACACGACACTGCTTTCGCCATTGGAATATCGCTTACAGATCTGAAAATGAAAGAGGCTTAGCTTAGATTAACTTATTAAAAACGCAATTTATATCCCTGTTTATCGGCACTAACCCAATGCAATTTTACATGGGCTATAGCATGCTGTGTTCCGATTGGCTGTAGCGTGTTTCGTTTTCGAGATAGTTAAAGTTCCATGGTATCCCAGTCTGGAGAAGTTAAACAAAGTCCGTCCGGCGAAGTCACATCAGACGATCTTCGGTGAGTTTGATTCATCGAATGACGTCCGACATGTCTACGATAAACGCGGATACCATGGAGCAGCCCATTGGCAAACAAAGCGAATGAGCTGCTCCATCTAGTGCCGACATCGTTGCATCCCGAAGTGACTTTTTCAGTCATTAGCCGATTTCACTATGCACTGATACACTGAAAAGTTGTTTAAAAAAAAAAACTGAACGTTACCATGAAATGTTAGCATGCACTAAACATTCTGAGAAAGAAAAGATTACTTTCAAGCAATTTTATTGACACGCAGTAGTTCAACCACGCGTATCCAACCAAGAATGAACGTATCATATTAAACAAGAACCTTTATAGACATTTCCTCAGCCCATGCCTTTAGTTTCCCAACTTCCCAGAAAATACTTGGCCTGGCAATCAGCAATGTACATTAGTCGAGAGCATTGGATCCCGCCTGCCCGATCACTGTTTACCTCGGTTGAAGAAGGGCAAGGCAGGCTTGATGGATCATTTCTGCCAAGGATCATTTATCTTGGATCGGGTTGAGGTGTGCAAGCCCTGTAAGCTATATAAGTACACTAAGCAAGTTTTCTGAGATCTGTAGCTAAGCTCTGCATGCCCCTAAACAGCAGTGCTGCAAGGATACAAGAGTTTGTTTTGTTACGTCTACGTCATAGATGCCATCGAATATTTTTAGTAAGTTTTCCAAAGTTTCGGTAGGAAGAAATCTGGCGTCTTAACTGTTTATAAAAGCATGATCTTGCTTACAGCCAACTAACTACAATGTTGTGATACCATGCGTTTTTACTAACATGTTTTAAGATCTCTGCGAAACATTTCTGGCCGAAAATCGTTGATACAAGATGTGCGGTTTGAAAATAAGCACTGAAAATTTTCACCGTAATCCTTCGTGAAATTGCTATTGTCATTTCACATCAGGCCTGGAAAGGGCCAAGACGGGGACACCGCACCATTTACAAAAAAGGTGGTCTAAAGAGACAACAACACTGTTTTCACTGGTTTGGGGGCACACCACAGACTTTCTCCCTTTGTACCCGTCATTCGTCGTCGCTGAATGTTTTAGCGTGCCAAAAAGCAATGAAAGAAATAACGCATTTCACCAAAGCCGCCCTGTGCCTCACAGAAATATGCCAAAACTTAGAATGGATTATCTTGTTCTCTATATTAGGGCAATTTTACATTAAAGCCAGCTTCTGCAGCACCACCACACAGATAGACTTATTCACGGCTGCGAAATGCTTCGAGAGGCATGTCACGGACGCAATGAGATGTTCCGCAACACTCCAAGTTGCAGGTGCTACATTTGTCCGGATATTGTCGACTTGCCGTATCCCACGCGGACAAATGACTCGAGATATCAGAAAAATAGATATGTTCAAATCAACCGTAAGATATTTTTATAGGGTTTGGCACGTATCGTAAGGTCCGCAAGGTGAGCACAAATGCCGGAAATAAAGCTGCTTAAATGTTCAGTGAGGCAAAATGCAAAAGGACGGTATAAACCAAGACAAAATATGTCAGTTACGAACAGGCGTCAGCTTTCATATCACGCAGAATCTCGCATATTTCTCGACGAAAGTGTTTCTCCATCTTCTCCATGTCTCTTCTCGCTTTGTCCAGATTCCTGCAAAACGTCTCCTGAGTCTCGGCAATGTCATTGTTGAGCAGCCGAACATTTTTATTCAGCTCTTCTTCTGCCGTTCGAATCTGATCATCAATCCCCTGCATCGTCTTGTCTGTGCTTTTCTCTATTTCCTTCATCTTGCCTGTGATCGTCGCGAAGCCCTCGGTCATGCACTTCTGCACCTTGCACAACCCTTCATTGAGACTGGTGTACGACTCCTTCAGCTGGCTGGCCAGCGCGTCCAGTCTCTCGTCCGCCTTGGCAATCCGCTCGGCCGGAATGTACTGCTCCTCCTGGTCGCCGTCGCAGGGGCTGCGGTAGGCCTGTCCCCCGCCGCAGTCGGCCCCGGTGCCGTAGCGACCGAAGCCGCCGCTGCTCTTGCCACCGCACGGGTCGCGCCGGGCCCGCGGGCAGCCCCGGCGCCGTGACGTCATGTCGTCTGGCTTCTCGCGGGTGACGATTGCGCGCTCGTACTCGTACTGCTCGCCACCGACGTCCTCCACGCGACGGTCGTACTCCTCTCGCACTAACTCGCCTGCCGGAAGGGGGCGAGCTGTTCCTTTGTATCTCGCAGCAATTAGAAGTGCATAGGTATCAAGGATTCCATTACTATAGTTAGACTGTCACAATTGTAGCATCACTGCAATTGTATGGACGGTTGCTGACATCTACACCGTCTGTCATAATGCAGCTGTCTAAGATGACTTTTTTTGGGCCGTGTAAAACCAGCAGTAATCAGTTAACAGTGAACTTGTGTCAGATTCCAATTGAAAAATGATTGCGTTTGCGATCTCATGTCGGCAATCTTGTTCAAAGGTAGCAAATTTTGTCCTTATCATTATGCAATATTTGGGGAAAATAAGAAATCCTGTGTGCAGAGCAGTGTAGAAATCGTTAAGATATTGTGAGTAATTATGCTGACAAATTTCGCCTGAAAGTCTAAAACTCATTCATGACAGTTGAATGGAATAAAGCTTATCAAACAGGCAGAATGCGTGCAGTGGATGAAAAAGTATTAAACATTGTGGATAACGTGCCTAGGCTCTCACTGGAAAAAGCGGCATTTCAGCAAAGATTAATTCCATTACAGAAATGCTGTTATGAGTTATGCTGTTAAGGACATAGATAATTTACGAAAGTACAGTTCGCCACAGCATGCCAAACTCACAGAGATGTAGCTCGTGGTGAGTGTACCCGAAACGAGAAGCAGTGGCAAAAGTATAGTAGTGTTGATTGAATAGCACTGTTTGGTAGACTTAGGTATCTTGAAATAATATGGGCAGCGAAATTGTAGGCATCGTCGAATTCTAGAATTGATGGTAGGGCTTAGATCACGTCAGTTATATGACACGTTGCAATGCGTGATGTTGTGCAGGTTTAAATATTGCACACTGATACGAAGCATTGTTATATTTGGCCAAACAAGGTATATGTATATCCGATGAAATAATTACATGCATATGCTATTGTGGGTTTTGAGGGAGGCTAGTTTTGATTTGCATGCTTAGGTTTTTGTTGATTTCGCGTGCGTATGCTTGTTTCGTTGGAGGGATTTTTGCCGTTCTCATGAAGCTTGTGTAGTAATGGATTATGCAACTTAAATTAAGTTTTTTTCTGGTAGCAAACATTTGGAAGTGCTTTAGCCTTCTATAAGACACAGGCGAGCATTGTTGACCTTGGCCTCGAGCACAAATTTGCTTTCAAACAATGCCTCAAACACAAACGCTTCCAAATACCTACCCGAGTGACGTATTCATGTCATTGATATGAATGAACTTACTTGTCTCGGGATCGATGTATTCGTTGCTCCAACGGTCTCCTGGCTCAGAACACCCAGGCCTCGGTCCCATAACTCATTGGGTCGACCATGTATTCTGACGGGGGCTCTTAGAATTTAAGCACAAGCGATTTAAAGCAAACGAGCGATTGAAGCAATTTTACTTTATCCAATGCCCCTTGTGAACAATCCAGGTTTTCGATTACATGCCAGCTATCAGAAAATCCCAACAATAAGTCTTGAGCGATTCACGTGGAAATGTTTGACGAGCATTTTCTGTTTGCAGAGATTTGCAACCATTGTTCATGATTTATTCCACAAGAGGTGCTCTTTATGTATTTCCACGCGTTCAGATCAGTTTCGAATATTTTGTGACATGAAAATGACATTACTTAAGGGTTCCTTTGGGTTTTGCGACATCGATGGTAGGGGCTATTGAGCTTTTTGTGTTTTTTGAGTTTTACTGCAAAATTATTTGATGCTGTATATCTTCTTTGATAGGCAGCATATCGTACCTGGAAGGGTAAATTTGAAAAAAATCGAGGACTGTTGTTTGAGTATACATTGTTCGCTTTAGCGGTGACCATGAACTGCGTATGCAGAGATAAGACTCAGCCGAGGCCGGACTGTGTTAGCAGAGTTAATCCCAAAAAAGAAACATTTTGGGATAATTGCGAAAAGAACAAGAACAAGATAAACGCCTGCAACAAACCAAACAACCGAAGGCGTGCTTGTCCAAATGGAAAAAGTAGCTCACAACTGGACTTCCATCAAGCCATCACAAAAGTTAAAAATCGCATGGACAACACATTTCGTAGTTTAGAGCGCGGCTTACGTGGGGTAGAAAAGAACGCAAATTCTGAAATTGCTAAGGTATTGGCTCAGGTGATGGAGTTTGAGGAGGGAATGAAGCCTAAACTTCTCGCCCCGTACAGGAAATGCAAAGAGTTGGAAAGTCTGATATCGCCTGTTCTTTCAAAAGTACCACAAAGGTCAGCATCAGCTCGTTGCAGGCCTCCGGCAAAAATGACAAACGTTGAGGAACGCTGTAGGTCATCAAAGCCTCAACAACGCTGCGGAGAGATTCAAACAGCATGCTCGAAGGGAAAAGAGAGATTTCGGGAACTGATGTGCTCACCTTCGCTGGACCGAGTTAATCCATGGGAAGGAAGACAAGGCAGTCAGATCCGCTGCAAGGGTGTGAAGAAAGATCCGTGCGGCAAAGCAGATACCTTCACATATTCCACGCCGGAGGAAAGTGCAGAGGACGACGTTGAGCGAACCATGCAAGAGCTTCAAGACATCAGCATCAGCGTCAACAAGAGCTTGAAGCGGATCAACCGGGCGATTGCGGCGGGCGAGGGCTGCGAGACAATGGGGCGCGTGGCTGAGGCGGATCCCGAAATGCTCTACCGTGTCAACAGCTCACTTGGCCACATCGGAGCCGGAACGAAGCTGCTTAAGAGGTTGCTGATGGAAGAGAAACTGAGAACAAACTGCTGACCACTGTTTGTGGTGAGGTGTGTGGAACACTTTTTTCAGCTGGCCGATTGAACCTCAGTTACTTTTGTAAAGGCGTCGGAAATCACCCAGCGTGCCTGTCAGCACGGCGCTGTAATTGTTTGGATTACAGCATATTTACATCAACTTATTCTCTGATGTTTTGAGTGAGTTTATTTCATGGCAAAGAGCTCGCGCATCTGCAACGCGTAATTAGATCGATGGCTAGTGAGGTAATCGCGACGTTTGGACACTTATTTGAGTTGGACAGTCTAAGACGTCTATCCGACAAAAGCAATGTCATGATTTTGTCAACGGTGATCTGTATATCTGTGGCGCATTGATTAATGAAATATCAGGTACGGTAGCTCGACGGTTGTTATCTGTACGTCAGCTGACCCGCATAAACCGTTTCTGCCGCAGATGAAAGGTTGAAGAAACATTAATAATTTCCGTGGTGCTTGTGCGATAGGGCTACGATTCTCAGCTACGTCGCCTCCGATGGTTGCTTACAATCAAGCTGAAGTCATGGTACATGTCATGTGCTAAAAACTATAAGCTCCTTAAGTCATCGCCAACGTCGAAGACCATAGGTTAAACGCCGTTCCCAGACAGCTGTTCCAGCACATTTCTTTCTACGTGTGAGCTATCCCCACCGGACCCACTTTGGACATTCACAACATCGTTCCACGGCGTAGCAATGCGTAATAGCACACATTACGTCTGCACTCGCCAATGGTCATCCCTATCTATAAAAACTTATATTGATAATCTCCGCATCATCGTTAATCACATGATTGTCTGAACGCACCTCGTCTCTTACCCACGCGGCATGGCACCGTCGGTTACGAATTCACCTGGGCAACTGGGAGGACAATCCATTGACGATCACGAATCTAAATGCGTGCATGATCAGACGTCAAGGCAAGTCTTTGAGCAACACTGGCGCACCGCTCCTCTTCCGAGAGGGTACCTCGATGCCGCGTTTGCAGACGTACACACACACAGTCACATATAATTCATGCCGAGTATTGGTCCACCTACTTTGGGTGGTCTATTGTCACATGTTCTCGCAACGGCATTAACCCAAACGATATTGGACACAAATCACAGCGCCAATCAGCTTGGCACTTCATTCTTGTGGCAGGCCCTGGCAAAAACGAACATGTTTACATCCACACTGAGAATACATCACACGCCATGGCCTGAATGAAATCGTTAAACTTTCCAAGTTGGCACTAGTTCAGCTCGCTAACAATTGTAAGGTGGGAGCTCCAGGTAGATAGCTCAATGTAGCTTGCTTTAGGCGCTATAGCCTAATAGGCTCATACGACGCTTTTGCAAACTGGATGAAAGCAAAGGTTTCCAGGCGCTTTGCGAAATACGGACACGTCGAGTAAATGCGCAGCGCTCTTTTTTTCTTACAATGAGGGTCAATATTAACAGCTAGTGGCATTCGAACCACTGACAGTCATTTGAACTACCAATGACGAATGGAGAACAAGTGACATCCATGTGAATCAGCGTGGCCAACGGATGAAACATCGCCGCCATAACAACAGTACATCAGATCATTTAAAGAATATCCTGAGGTTGAGTCATCCATTCAAAGGAGAACAGCTATGAGGGAAATCCTAGCACAAAACCACGAATCCTGCTGGTGCATGCAAGACGTTGACCACCAAAAGAAACAAGGCCAAGAAACATGCAACTCCTACACTTTTCAATGTAGTCAAATCTCGCGTCAAGATGCGAGCATCTCTCACCAAGGCATCGCGGCAACACCTAGCACATGAATATTGCAACAATCGCAGCTCACAACGGTCAGTCTCACAGCATATGACCGCATGGCACTTTACGGCTCGCGTCGCGCAAGGATCCATCATCCCACACGTCCGACGGAAATGGCACATGAAAGAGCTGTACATCAGCTACATCAGCAGCGAATGAGAGCGCAGCAGCACCGCAGCCCTGCTGTTTTCGCCGCTGAGGTCGAGAGAACGTCCCCAGACGCAAAGGTAGTCACACGCAGTCCTGCCACCTCGCCACAGCAGCGAGTCGGTGGCCAGCCCGCTGCCTCCGCGCCTCCGCACCTCCCTCCCCTCTCTCTCTGTCTCTAAAAAACCCTACAAGAGTCCATCGCACTGACCAGCCAGCATCGCAGTGCACCATATGTGTCACAGCACCTGCGACCACCACAGCTGACACGTGAAGCTCTGCGCGCGCCCCGCACCGACTGACCGACCGGCAGCGCGGCCCACGACGGGGTCAACCAGCACTTCAGAGAGCTCTTCGACAGGTCACAGCTTGCCGGTCGGCCTGGTCGGCGACTTCAGCTCCATGTACTGGTGCGGCACGTGGACGGTCTGGCCCGCGCACTCAACCAGGAGGTGTCCGCGCCGAGAGGACGCCCCCACCACCAGCACCGTGTCGCCTTTCAGCAGCGTCACCTCCCCGCCGTCGTCGTCTGAGGGCATGATCGAGGGTGGTGGAGAGCCTGACACGACAGGTGCTACTCTCCGCAAGCCTGACACGAGGAGTGTCAAACGCCGCGAGCCTGACACGGGGGTGTCACACGCCACGAGCCTGGCACGGGGAGTGTCACACGCCGCACACGCACAGACCGTATTGATGTTGGAGACGAGAGGCGCCACTGGAGCACTTGCGTCAACACCTCACGCCAGGTGAATAAGCCAGTGATCGCGTGGTCGGTCACCTTTCACTAGGGTGCGTGATCGTGCCGCGCGCCACCTCTCGCCCGGCCAGGTCACCGCGTGCTCTGTCACCTCTCACCCGGCCAGGTGATCGGGTGCTCTGTCACCTCTCATCCGGCCAGGTGACCGTGCGATCTGTAAGCCCTCACACGGCTGGGTGATGGCGTGCTCTGCCACCTCTCACCTGGGAAGTTGAGCAGCATGAGCCGCTCCTGCGGGTAGCCCAACTTGCGGTTGCCGTTGACGGTGTAGGCCCTGGCCGGCGGCAGCGGCGGCGGCCGCTCCAGGTCCAGGCCGAACAGGGAGCACGTCTGCTGCACGGCCAGCGGCTCGCACCGCTCCGGCACGTCCGGCGGCGGCGTGCCTGCGGCCACAGGTCAGAAGTCAACGGTCAGAGGCCATGTCATGGATGGGGCCACTGCCTGATGATTTGGGAACGGAGGTGTGTTGAGAGGATTATTTTCATGCAAAGATCGTGGGTGAGATGGCAAATTTTACAATTGTTTGAGACTCCTCCTCCCTGCAGGAACGAAAATGGAGGAACCCTCGCGTCAGGTGGAATGCCCTTGCGTCAGGCCGGGGCAAGACATCAGATTTGGCTGCGACAAGCGTGAGTCAGCTGTGAAAGGGTTAGCTCGAAGCCGACACAACTATTGGGTTGGGAGTTCGGAGCAGTGTAGAGTTAAGCCGGGAGAAAGAAAGAGAAAAGCTGGTCGGGAGAAAAGCTGGGCGCAAAGCTCAATATAATGACGGTAGAGCCGTTAAGTCAGATGGTGCATGTAGTAAGAGCATCAGGATATCATCTGGAATGAAAGCAGATTTAAGACACATGGTCAGTTCCGAAGTCACCAGCGTGGTATGTTTGAGTCTTCGTGAAGAGATATGATGTGCCATAGGCTCGAAAATATTTTTACACCAAGTGATTGGTATCGGGCTGTGTCAGGGCAGGTCAGACACAAAATTAGTCGTCAAAGGTCGGCATAATTTCACTGTGTAGCCAGACCACATTTTGAGTCGATGTACTACACACGACACTGGCCAAAACATATCCAGCATATCAGAGACCTTTTGAACACAGGTTGAAATGGCTCCCTACGAAGTACCGGAACCCCAGGAGATCGGTCGATATAAAAATATATGGGCTCTACTCAAGGCTCAAGGCCTGGGCCAAGCATGAGAAGCCAATATTATTATATTATATAGGTAAATACACAAACGCTCAAATAGCCTGGAAGAGTCAATGAGTGCGCGCCATGCGACTACACGACGTCACAGTTTCCAATGGCGGAACAACCGTCATACACAGAGCTCTCAAATCCACATATTTTGCTGTTAAAAGCTTGATGAACGCCCCAACACTGGCGGCGGCCCCATGCTCCCAGCTTTGCAGCGTCATCAGTCCAGCACTGACTCGTTTGTGGTCTTCTGTCTCCCTTCCTCAGCTCTTTTGTGCGAGGTAAAACCTGCACCGCAGAAACCTTTCCAATCTTCATCCGACTTTTTTGCCGCTAGATGGCATCGCTAACTCAGCCGTTGCATGCTCCCGTAATCAGCCTCGTAGGCGACCCGCTTTATCTCTCTCCCATCCCTCAAATGCCAAGTGGGCGGAGATATTCATCACTGACCTGTGATTGGCTGCGGCCGCGGCCTGGTCGGGCCGCTCTTGTTACGCTGCCGATGCTCCATGTTGCGGCGCATCTGCGGCCAACGGCGGCGCACGCGCCAGCCGCGCCACACGCTCTGCACCAGCACGGCGGCGCACAGACGGATCTGTTCGCGCAGCTGCTCCAGCCGCTGCCGCGTGCCCTCTCTGAGGACGGGCGGTCGTGCCAGGTCAGCGAAACGCAGCGGGCTCAGATGTAGCTGGTTCTCGAGATGCGGACGGTCAGGGTTAGGCAGTGCAGCGTGGTCAGGTAAAGAGCTGCGTCAGGATCAACTCAAGGGGCTCCAGCAGGGTCAAATCAGGTAACTGCAGCAGCCCAGGTAAAGCAACTCTAGCAGGTTCCGATTAGACAGCATAACACATTCAGGTCAGTGAGCTACAACAGGGCTTGAGAAGAAGCTGCAGCAGGGCCGGGTCAGGATTTCACAGAATGATTATCTCAGGGAAACTGCAGCATATTCAGGCCAACCAAATCACAGCAGCCATGTCAAAGAACTGTAGACAGTTCCACAAAGATCAGTTCAGATGGATCAGATTATGAGGCTGACGGTCGCAGAGGGTCCCTCATCCCGAACTCTGCCAGCAGCCTCCCTGCCCCACCACTCACGTGAGGAAGATGTGCCGCTTCCCCAGCGCCCAGCCGTCACCCGCACTTTCGACACCGACAGCGTCCGCCGCCAGCATCGCCTGGAACTTGGCCAGGATCGCCCGGCAATCCTCCACGGCCTTTTCCTCGGTGCGGTGCAGCAGTGACGGCCGCGACAGCAGCCGGTAGCGCGTGTTGAACGCGCGGAACCGCATCCTGTGAGGGTAGCCTGCGCGAGAGAAAGGAGTGTCAGAGAGCGGCCCTCAGGGCTACTTCGGCCGTGCTCCCCAGTCGTCAGGGATGTTTAATGCTAATCCTACGTGATGTTACGGGGAACTGTAGCAGGTTACATGGAAGTCGAGAGGATAAGAAAGGTTGTGCTTCCCACCCACATTTGGGACGTTCTCGCATCGAAGATGATTCCTGTCGGTGTGGCTAGCTTTGCTTGATCAGTAATCGATGGAGCATCCCTGCGCTCACTAGCGCTGACGCCAGTGTCCCCAAACATGCAACCGCATACACGCACCGTCAGCGTGCGTCCGTCATTACCGTTCCCTTTTCTCTCACATCCGGCTTTCTCAGCGATAGCTCACCAGACCACCGCCCCCCCCCCCCCCCCACACACACACAGCCGACAGACTCGAACTCCCTCTCGTCCCCGCTCACCAGTAGCCATCAGGTTGACCGTCTCGAGCAGCTGAAGCGCGCGGATCTGCCGCATCACCGTCGGCCGCTGGAACGTCATCGGCTCCTCGGCGTCGTTGGCCTTCACGCAGCGGACGAAGTGCGGCTTGGCGTGCACCAGCGTCCTCAGTAGGTTGTCCAGCCTCGTGTGGAAGTCCTGTGTCAGCGTCGACACCGGCTCGTCGCCGTTTTGGCTGTCCGATGCGGGAGCAGCGGTCAGCACGATGTAATTGCGCTGTGCGGTTTTGGTGTTGGTGACAAAGTTGTGCTCGTGGGGCGAATGTTGATATGAAACTGGGTAAACAGCATGGGAAGATACGGAAAGAAAATTTTGTAAGGCCTATTAAGGTCTCAAGTTAGCGATGTCTGGTGAGTATGACAAACTCATCAATCATAAGTCGGGCTTTTTACAACAAAAAACATGTTAAGGCCAAGACTCACACAAATTGTCATTTTAGTGACTCCAGCTTTTCGGCGTTGATGTTACTAACTTCGTCTAGTTTCGCCAATGTGACTAGTTTAGCAGTATGCAGCTGCAGCTGGACGCATATTGCACCAGTGTACTTAACGTTTCGTGTTTATATATATATATATATATATATATATATATATATATATATATATATACATTTGCGGATGCGCTTCCGTGTGTCATATGACACCTGCATGACTAATAACCACAGCATGTATACCCGAAGGCCATACACACACGCGCCTAACCCATAGTTTTCCTCAGGCCGACATCAGCACTGCCCAGCAGCCAGTGCTGTCGTCTCCACTCACAGGTCGGCGTTGGACGTGGGGCTGATGCGGAAGCTGACGCCCCGCGGCACCGCCTCCTGGCTGTACAGCACTTTCAGCTCCGTGCCAAACAGGTGGCTGGCGAAGCCGAAGCTGCAGTGCTGCTTGTGGAACACGGACACGAGGTCGTCCGGCATGCAGTCGCGGTTCGTGTCTGCGGAGGACAGGGTGGTGCTGAGGGCTGTGCGTACCTGGTAGGGGTGCTCAGTGAGATTACCCAAAGCCGCGAAATAATATTGTGGTCGAGCTCGTGCCAATTTGTCCAAGCAGTTGCATCGACGGACACAGCGCATGGGGGTGGAATCCGGTTTGCAGATGTGACAGCGAGCACGCAAGATCGCCGTTCGCTCCAAGATCTTTATATCTGCATCTTAGAAAACCAGCGTCCATAGCTCATCTACGCGCACACGTGCACACGCGCACACGCAGATTTTCACTGCGAACTCGCGTGCGAACTCGCGTGCGACGAACGTGCGACGAGCACTCGCCGTGAGTGTGCGGCGACGTGTCGTTTAAACCAGCACCACTCGTGCTGAAGCTCACCAAGGAAGTCGGCCGCCGAGTAGGCCACCTTGCCGGCGTAATGCTGCACGGCGAACGAGAGCGCCTGCCCGGCCGGCGGCTCGCACAGGCGGGCGTTGCTGCGGTGCGCCAGCCGCACCTTCTGCAGGTAGGTGTCCGCCGAGCCGCGAACGCCGCACTCCACGTCCATCATGGAGAGCAGGCCGGTCCGCTGCCGGAGGGGGGGGGGGGGGGCACGGTCAGACGGGCATCGGTTTGAGCTTACCAGGTGCGCTGCCGGGAAGGAGCCAACAGCAAAGCACGTGTCTACGGGAGACATAAATGCGAAAACATAAACACTTGTATACACCAAGCGGTAGCTTCAACAGTACTGGCCCAAAACCGTTTTCTAACTAGGTAGGCTGAATGAGATAAACTCGAAAATCGCTCAACTAAAGCCAATTTCATTTAACTTCCAGCCTGGGCCAGTTGAGCACGAAAATCAAACATGGCGTGAAACTAACCCAGTTGCTCACACCACCTAACTAGCAATACACAACAATATCAAGAACTCCAAGCATGCGCTCTAATGAGCACCAGTCAGATTCTGATGCACTTAACAAGAAAACATCACAAAAACAAATCCGGGCCCCCAGACGCGATTGACACGTGCTGGTTTGCACACGCACAGCACAAAGCCCGTACCAGCGAGCTGATGAGGTCGATGCAGGGTACATTGTCGACGTACTCCACCTCCACCTCGCACGTGATGCCCTCCTCGCGACACGACTCCAGGCTCGACTTGAAGATGTGCGTGTTGTAGAAGTGCTGCATCGTCTCCGAGCACAGGTTGATGCACAGGTGCTCCAGTCTCGACGGCTGCCGAGGAGCGCGATGGCTTAGTTGGGAGGATTTTGGGCTGTCACGCCGGAGGCCCAGTTGACTCCTGTCTGGCGAAGCAGACCCTGCGTTTGACACCCGCTTGGTGGAGCAGACCCTGTGTTTGCCTTTCGCCCGACGAAGCAGACCCTGCGTTTGACACCCGCTTGGTGGAGCAGACGCTGTGCTTGCCTTTCGCCCGACGAAGCAGACCCTGCGTTTGACACCCGCTTGGTGGAGCAGACCCTGTGTTTGCCTTTCGGCCGACGAAGCAGACCCTGTGTTTGACTCCCGCTAGACGAAGCAAACCCTGGGCGCTACTGCACATGACTGTCGTAATAGCTGAAGATTCAGCACAGGGCTAGATGACGACACAAGCCGGGTGTCCTTAAGGTGGAAAGTAATGATCGCGATGCCGTAAAGACAGATGCGATGCAGAAATGTCTAGTGCCGACGTTCGGGCATGCATAACCGAAATTAAGAACTCAGTTATGCTTGAAGTGACTGATCTTACGGGGTTATGCTACCAATTGTAATCTCTGAAAACGTTGTAAGGGTGTATTCTACTTACAGCTTGGTATATTCACACGTAGCCGCTTCTTGGGCGCATGCAGCTGTGTGGTACAAGCTACATCCTGGGTGGTCTGAAAAGCCCCTTGCGAACCCGAAGCGTAATTAGGTCGCCCAGAGATTTCCTGTACCTCAAAAATATAACATAGACATAAAGGCCTGCTCTTTCGGTGCCCAGCAGTACGATGTTATTTCAGATTTGCACGGCGTAGGCGCGATGGTTTGCACAATGTGTTGTCTTCAAATGCGCTAAAACCGGTTTCTCGCCAGTAACTCGCATTCAGTGGCCCTCACATCACACCCTTAGTGTTCAAAATTGATTGAAGTGTTGAAGAATGATCTACCCTGACATCTCCGGGCTCTGTGTGACATGCCACCTTGGTGTTCTCGAAGTTTAGCCCTGCAACTTTCACAGTCCCACGTTTGTGTCCTCTGCAGCACGCACGGGCATGACGCAAACAATGAGAGCCATGGGAACTCAAAATAACCTCATCGACACAAAAAGCCTCAGCCCACGTCCGAAGGCCACATGAGCAGTGGATTAGGGGGGGGGGGGAGCAGCTGCCCCGCCCCTCTCAACATCGGGCAACATTTAACATTAACCCTATGTGGCGCATGAACAGAAAAGAAACAAAAATCACATTGCTCCCCTCCCCATCCCAATCCTCACCAAGGGCCCGCCACGCACCTTGGGCTCCTCAAAGCCGAACATATCCAGAATGCCGATGAAGCCGTCGGTGGCGTGGCGCACGGCCGAGTTCAGCACGCTCATGCTCTTGCTGGCGCGGCTGCCGGCCGTGCCGACGGTAGACGCGTGCGCCGACTGGGCGTCCAGGTGCACGTGCGAGTCGTCCGAGGAGCAAAGCGTGCCAGAAGTCGAGCCGAGTCGCTTCAGCGAGTTGGCGCGCCGCACGATCGTGGCCACCGTGCGGCAGTAGAGCGCCTTGGCCAGCGAGTCCCGCGTCATGCTGGGGATGGACGGGTGGTGACGTCAGACGGGCTGTGACGTCACACTGGCGGTGACGTCAGGCGGGTGGTGACGTAAGATGGCCGGTGACGTCAGACAGGAGATGACATCGACAGGGAGATGAGATCAGATAGGGTGCGACGTCGGAGGGAAAGCCCATGGAGGGTTTGGCTATTAAACACGTTCACGTGGAACCCGCGGGCATTCTAATTTCAAATGGCCATCTCCCGAATCTAAAAGCTCACATTGAGGAACAGACTGTTTTCCTGTTCCTTTTTTCAAGAGACGACGAATAACAGCCCATTTCACTACGTTCCCATGATGCTTATACTCATTTGGCCATTACTAAAGGACCTTCGAGGCGTGCTTTACGTCTGCGTACGGCCGCCGTGTTGCCCACCTCAGACTCAGCTGACCCCAGCCCCATGAGCGCGTGACCCGGACGCTGACCTGGACACGTTGGCGTCCCCCAGCGACCTGACCAGCTGGCCGCGGACGTTGTGCGTGCGCGTGGTGAGGCCGGCACGCAGAGCGGCGGCACTGAAGCCCAGCAGCGAAGCCACGGCCTGGAGCTGCTCCAGACCTTGCACCTCCACCTGTTGTACCGACGGGAGGACGTGTCAGAATATCGCCAACTGGAAGCTGCTGTGGCGCGCTTCAAAACACGCTGACGCTTGAAAAAACTGAAGTGGAGTGTTGTGTTACAAGACCGTTGGAAGCTGCCCAGGTTTCAGCCCAGGCATGAGTGGTGCGTTCTGTTTTTATCTGGCTTCCGATGCTTTCCGATTTTCAAGCTGGCATGTGAGTTTGTGGGCACTAGCCGGATGGCATGAGAAATCCCCACGAACTTGACATGAGCATGCTTTTTTACACACGTAGGACCCATTCCCTTTCATTGCCACTATAACCTTTACGACGACTTCCAAGACCGAGTTGACCTCGTCAACATCAGCACGAACCTCGCCAAACAAGACATCCTGACCTTCCTCTCACTCACCTCCATGCCGGCGCCGTCGACGAAGGTGATGTTGCCTAGCAGAAGCACGGCGGCCAGCACGCGCACCACGTCCAGGAACGGGATGCCGAGCACCCCCAGGCACGACTTCCAGGCCTGGAAGCGGCGCGCGTCCTCTTTGAGGTCCTGACGCCGTTCACCCTGGCGCAGGTAGCGCAGGCTGGACAGCGACTGTCCCTCCAGGTGGAGCCGCGCTGCCGGCGAGGAGCGGGCGCCGTCACACTCAAGCAGGCCGCATGGCCGGGGCTGAACCGGCGCCGCCAGCTAGCCCCGTCCGCAGCTGCGGACGCAGGTCAGTGACGCCGTGACGCTTCGTGAAAGAAACCGAGACAAAACACGCATTTCTCCTCAGATTTTGGAGGTTTTGCCGTCTCGTCAGAAGGATCGGACCTTGACGACAAGGATAATATCGATGTTACTAGTAATCACACCATTAACCACTCTAAGGTCTCCATAGCAGCTCTGATAGGAAAAGTCTACCGCCTCATGCAATCTCACATCGGTGGCAGAGAAGCCAAAACACAGACTGTTTTTCCTAACAACCCCGTTAAGAACAACAACACGAAGGGAAGTCAGCTCAAGAAAGGGATCAGAAGCATGGAAGGCGACAGCCAATACCGCTGAAAGGGTTATCCAGTCAACACTCACCAACACAGGTAACACTGAACGACATCGGCTAGCGAGTGAAGATGCTTCCAATGAATGAGAAAGAGTGGGCACGTACATGGTACAAAAACAGTTTGCTGGCTTGTAACAATGTCTAGGCATGTATGCCGGCCTGCATGCATCCAGCATGACACGATCTTTATCCATTGGTCAGCAGCAGGAGTTTCTAAGCGCCAATAGCACTCTGATTCAGTGAAAACGTGGTCTCTTGTAGCCTACACAATCTGTCTCACCTCTTTCTTCTGTAGACAAGCCAGCCAACATCTGATAGAAAACGTGGTAGTTTTTCTCGCCAGGCAGTGGCTGAACGACTCGTGTCTGGTCCAGGAAGTAGCAGTGTATTTTTGTACGATAGAGGGCACCGTCAGTCACCTGAACCTCGATGAAATGACCCTGTTGGAACGCCAAGGTTGTCAATGGCGTGCGCTCAGTTGACTTCGTTTAGCAGAGTAAATGCGGTTAAATATGGATAACTACGTCTTGCAATCATAGTAAGCAGGGATGTAAGAGTGCATATATCACGAAGAAATGCTCACAGAGCCCGCCTTGCAAAAGAAGCCAGGTCCTAGCATTACACCATTGCGAGGCAGCTGGTCTCTCGAAATGCAAGCCGTGCAAGATTGCATGTCAATCTTGCTGTGCGTCACAGCTACCTAAAAAGCTGCTTAATTTGAATTCAGTTGACAAAATGCCGACCCGCATCGACACCGCACAACCATAATCGCTCATTCAGCCCTCCTCCCCCTCCCCCAATTGTACATAAACACACACTGCACGTGAAGCGCAGTCCCCCCTCCCCTCTTCCTCCAGAGGCGCTCACAATGCGACTAGACTCGGAATTGGAGGCAGTGCGGGCCGTGCCGAGGGAGCGGAGCACAGTGAAAGCGGCCGCCAGGTGCTTGAAGGCGTCCGTCTCGGTGCCACCGCCGGCCACCAAGAACAGCTGGCGCAGCAGCAGCATCGACGTGTAGGTCTTGCCGCTGCCGCTCGCCCCTGCCGCCAGGTGAAGCGAGGTGAGGTGAGGCCATGAAGATGGTTATTGCAATCAAGGTTATTAAGACGATGACGACAACACAAAGCATTATATCGAGGACAACTATGATAGTGGGGATGGTGATGATGAAGATGGTGGCAACAATGATGAAAGTGGGGGTGGTTATGAAGATGATGATGACAGTGTTGATGGTTGGTGATGATAGATGATGATGATGATGATGATGGTGGTGGTGGTGGCTGTACAGGTGGTGACGATGGCGGAGGCGGTGGCGATTGTAATTTGGGGATTGCATCGAGGTGGCACATCAGGCGAGCGAGCCGAGCGTCTGGTGGTGTGCGCCGTTGAGGCGATCGTGCATGCATGCCTCGGGCTGGTGACTAGTGCTGGGAAACGTAGGGCTGGTGACTGGTGCTGGGAACGTAGGGCTGGGACTGGTGCTGGGGGACACAGGGCTGGGGAATGGTGCTGGCACGCAGGGCTGAGACTGGTGCTGGGGGGGCACCGGGTAGGCAGTTGGCACAGGGAGACACATGCACGGTTCAGACCCGCCGTTTCCTCTGTTTGCGTCCGTAAGGCCGCCGTTGTTGCACATGATTGCAGGTACTGTTTGTAGCGATCCTCATTCAGAGAGGAGCCAAGACATAGACGATTTCGTACTTTTGACTCACTGAAACTGAAAAGCTGTAATTTGTTGTGTTCCCGCACTGTCCTTTGCATACCTGGGTGCTTTCCTTAGATCATACTGAAAGAAAATGAGTGATTCCATGGTGAATCCTGTTTTGGGTGCTTCTGTGAGTGTGAGAGCCGCGTGAGCTGACTTAGATGGGAGCGAGAACTATGCCAGCTGACTAAGATGGGAGCGAGAGCCGCGTAAGCTGACTTAGATGGGAGCGAGAGCTATGCCAGCTGACTAAGATGGGAGTGAGAGCCGCGTCAGCTGACTTAGATGGGAGCGAGAGTCACGTCAGCTGACTAAGATGGGAGCGAGAGCCGCGTCAGCTGACTTAGATGGGAGCGAGAGCCGCGTAAGCTGGCGTAGATGGGAGCGACAGCTGCGCCAGCTGACTAAGATGGGAGTGAGAGCCGCGTCAGCTGACGAAGATGGGAGCAAGAGCCGCGTCAGCTGACTAAGATGGGAGCGAGAGCCGCGTCAGCTGACGTTCTTGCTCTGCTGGCTGCTGGATGCTGCAAGCCTCTCGCGACGGGGCATGTGCCAAAGCGGATGACGATGGGGGGGGGGGGAGGACAACAGCACCTAACCTATGTAGTGTCTTAAGTAAACCATCTGGTCAAGATTGACGCTCCCCTTTGTCCCTGCATGTGTTAAATTCTTAATATCGTGACTGTGACTTGTTAGGCTTCCCCAACAATGCATTTATCATGGGTTAACAAAACTGGCAGAACAAATGTCTGCCCGTGACGGACCTGCGAACGTCCCGAAAGAGAACTGCCTGCATGACATGCACCTGCCTATGACTTCCTATCGCGTTCACATCGCACAAACTTTCCCGTACAGCTCTTCGAGACGCACACCAGTATTGAACGTACTTTACACAATTGCGGCAGGCTTACGTGATGCGCCCCCGAACCCATCAAATGTTCTCGCCCCGTAATGGCTTCCACCACGAGGCCAATTTAAGCAAAACTCCGACTGAACGGCTCCGAAATCGCACCGCGAAAGCGCTACGGAAGAATAAGAGCTGCGCCCTGGTTTGACCAGCCCATCCCATGCATTAACGAATTACAAATAATACTGCCCAGTACAATTTCGCTGCTTCGACCTTCATGCTTGCGCGATGTGGTTTTAAACTGGCGCTCGCCGCAGGTATCTAGATGCTCTCGTTAAGCTCGCTGTTCGTATTACGTGGAGCAGCACCTGACAGGATGATGCCCTGCGGGTAGCCGGTCTCGGTCTGCTGCCGCACCGTCTCCCGCACCACCTTCTGCAGCTGCTCGCTCAGCTCCTTCGACCTCGTTGAGTTGAGCGTCAGGGAATTGCCCCGCTCCTTGTATGAATTGAGCGAGACGAGGATGGAGCCAACATTCGTCTGGAACACGACAACATCTGAAGCGCTTGAGCACGTGCATGTCCCAAAGGGGGAGGGGGGGGGGGAAGGGCTGTCGGCACTAGTCTGAGGTCTGTGACACGAGATGCATGCCGTCGTAAATAATGTATTTGCCATGCTCTTCGGACAACTTGCGTCACATGTTTTTCGGAAGGTTTGTACCAAAACTGAGAAGTATTATGGTGAAAACAAATGAGAGTTTGAACTGCATGACTCGCAACGAAATTCCGGTTGCTGTTGGTATGCTTGGGGTTAACTCGGGTCCACAATTCATTACGGCATCGCACTAAGCTTATGGACCACCACCCACGCTTCCTAGAGCTAAAACATCAAACTTGCGGTGAGATCGGAAAATGAATAAAGGGGACCCCATCCACCACAAATACTTGATACATGCACTTCCTTATACTAAAACAAATACACTTTGCCCATGGACCGTCACACCGCTGGCCCGCCAGCACCACTCACGTAGAGCTGGTGCTGTTGAAAGCGAGCGTACAGGCAGCGCATGACAGCATGCTCGGTCAGCGGCCCCTCCAGGTGACTCAGGTCCTCCACGTTGGAGCAGGCGGGCGGCGGCGCCAACCGGCCGGCCGCGCTGGTGCTGCCTTCTGTTGTTAATCGTGACAACTTGGGGCTTCCTGAGTCTGTGGGAATTTCGTGGCGAAGTTATCGATGGGGATTGGGGAGTAAATGCGGCCAGTGTTGTTTTAAATGGCTTCGCGCGGCTTAAGGAGGAATGACAGACGTTTATCCATAATTCTGCATCATGGTCTGATGGAATACTTACATGGAATGAGGCCGGTGGCGGCCGTCGACTAGGAAGTATTGCCATTTTACATAGCTAATAAGCAATGACCACAGATACATTCACTGTAATAAAAACAACACGAAGTATGTGCCTGACGAGACATTTAAAATTGCCACACTCATAGATCAAACAGTCAAAGAAAATATGCATGAAATATATATATATATATATATATATATATATATATATATATATATATATATATATATATATATATATATATGTGTGTGTGTGTGTGTGTGTGTGTGTGTGTGTGTGTGTGTGTGTGTGTGTGGCTGCCAGGAGGCATGGTAAGTTGCCTGATTCATAAACACCTTTCATCATCTAATTCGAAACAACAGGGCCATGGGCAGTGACACCGGTTGAAGGAGAGAGTGGGGGCAGGGAATGGGCAAGAACCTATCGACCGCTTTGGATTTCAGCTCGACACAAAGATGTCGCATGCAAAGGAATGTCCTAAAGCACGTTCTCTCTCGTCAGCTGTCCTTGCTCCCATCAGTTGCTCTCCCTTCTTCCGGTGATCCTCGCTTGCTCTGCAGAGCGACCCCTGAGCACAGGTGGGCGACGAAGGCACACATACGTCCCTTTCTATTTGATATCAACATGCTTCCAAACGCTCGTGAGCGCATTGCTGGAGGCCTCAGGGTCATGCAATGGTAGCCTCTTTCCTAGACTTTATTAACCAGGCATTCCTCCCTTGCTAGAGACACGCCTGGATTGTTGATGATATAGCTTGCTGGTCGGTCAATATCATGGCTGCATTGCTTTGCCTGAGGAATGTTAAAATGATGCGCACCCATCCTGCCAATCACCCCCGAAACAAATACGCTTCTGCCATGCATTCGCCGTGCCCGAGAGACTAATCCGCGCATGGAATCTCGCTTCCAATACCCGTTTGCTGCAGTTCCCGTCGGGAGTAATTTCCCCTGCGGCGGTGTACCTGGCATCAGAGGCGCAGCCAGGGAACGGGTACGGTGGCACCGGCCGGTGATCTCGCGGGTTTGGGGAGGCTGCGCGAACCCATAGCACACACATCGGAAGCATCTCACAATTCTCCGCGTAGGTCACCATCCACGCAGGACAGGCCATCAGCGCCATAAATCCCCCAAATCGCGTCAGCGTTCCCCCCCTGATGACCCCTGGGCGCGCCCCTGCCCACTACAGCCTGCAATCTCCGCCGAGGGAGGTATACCGCCAGCATACCGGCGGGCCGAGGCCAGACGCCGCGCTGCAGCCCGGCCAGCGTCCCCCGCCGCCGGCACCGGTCCGGAATGCGTCCGGCCGTGTCTCGCTGCCGGTGGAGCGGCACGCCCTGGGGGCGGGCGCGCCGCCGGCCGTGGCGCCGACTCGGGACGCACCCCGGCTGCCCAAGGCATGGCCATTATCCCCCGCACCCCGACCCCGCTATTAGGCCTGCGTTGCAGGCGCGGCAGCTAGGTGCTCGCTTTTATGGGGGCGCCCGGCCCAATTAGGATGTCCTAGCGGGTGCATGTGACCTGTATTCGGTGTGTAATGAGACATTAGCGCTCAGGCTGGAATTCGTCTTCTTTTTTTTAGAGGAATTTCCGCGGCATCTTTGCCAGTTCCACCTTCAGCATCCCAGCGGCAAGCGTTTACATATCTGTGTCTGCACGGAAGCTTTCTCATAAATGTCTGCATTGCTGATTGCTCAGGACAAATGAGCTCAGCAGTCGTGCCAGAATCTGCCACGAAGGCAGCAATGCTAGCCGATGATTGGAGAGAGTGAGAAGCGGAGAACACGAACAGGACTCAGCTCCAATGCGCAGTCCAGTAGAAATGACCTGGCTTTGTCGCGGCATCGTCACTAAACTCTACATCACACCAGGTTGGGATGCCGATGCCGGTCGGGCTCCTTAGGCCTGGGACCTTGCAAGTGGCAGCATCAAGCTTTATCTACAGTGCAAAGGCTTAGCGCTCGCCCTATAGCAATGACGTCACTGGGGCCTAGCCACGAAGAAGAAAATGTGAATAGCGTTGAAGCGTCCAATGCGTGGGCGAGGGCTGGTGAAAACTACATCTTCCAAGATTATAGACACCTGAGTACTCATCTGAGATAAATTTATTGTAACTGCCTTAACTTCGTCCGCAATATTTGCATCTGCCTGTGCAGGTGTTTGTATATTCATATACATGTACGGAGGACATAAGTGCGCAGGCATTGTGGTGTATTTCGTAAGAAATCCTTTTTAGTCTAACGTTTCATGTGAATGAAATATTTATAAGCGTCAAATTATGAATATACTTTTCATTTGATTTTTCGGCTTGAAAAAATGCAATGTTGCATTATCTTCAAACCTCGTATTTCATATCATGCAAAAATGATCTCATTTTTAATTTTGTCTGTCTACTTTCGATCGCACACCTTTGTCGAGAGCGCAATAGTGCATCTCGTTGCACATCCTTAACTGTGTGCATGATTTGTTGACCGTCCCCACCCCACAAACCGTCAGTTCCTTTACGGGTCGGCAACTAACGGTGGGAGGAGAGAACGCCGCCTCAGAAGCTGTTACAGCCATTCTCTGCAGTGATGCGCAATACAATGGATTATTACACCTTTCACCACAAAGTGCACTAGGGTCACGCAAAGTATGCTTTAAACAAGCCATTGCCTCAATACAAAACACGAAAAGCTGTTCATTGCTGTACACAAAGCTGTTCCATTTCAAGTATGACGACACTTTAAGTCCGCCTGACCAGGCAACCTTCAACGACGCGTTCATATGGAAATAATATATGATACCTTTTCCCCTTTATGACAAAAACATTTTTGGTTACAAAATCTTCTTAATAGATGCTTTCGGAGCAGGTTGAAACACAAAATAAATCATGTCAAAGACTACGCGCTTCTATAATAGTGGGGCTCAAATTGGTTTCATTTTTCATCAACTGAGTCATAGGAAATCTGAGATACTAAAGAAGAAAAATGACAAAATACGGAGAAAAGATCACCTGTAATGAGCAAGCGTTCCTAAACAGATCACAGGGCCCAAATTTGTTTCACCGAATTCAGCTTCGTGTATGCATTTAAATTTATACCTGAAAGGTGGCATCCTCTTTTTACAATGCGTGGGAGTCGACGAAATGCTCTGTTGAAGTGAAGTCTGTGGTGGTGCATACTTCCCGACGCAGCGAGCCTCCATCTGCCGTCAATAGTGAACGTAGCGCACGGAAAGGCCCCCCATGAACGAACCAAGTCAGTGAGAAGGTCAAGGACTATTTGGGCATCAGGTGCTCCTCAGGTGAGCGCCGCAAGGTCCTACGGCATTTATTATGCGGAGCGCACAGCAAGTGCCCACTTAGAGCTGGTAGGAACTCCATCGAATTTCCCTCAGCATGGAACGGGCGGTGGTTTATTACACGGCAGACAGCCACGCAATCCGGTGTGACGCACGCCTGGTCATCGGGTACCAAGAAACCGGGACCAGCCGGCCGTTGCATGCGTGTCGCCGAGGCAGAACTGACAGTAGGCGTATGGTCAAGACTGGCACGCAGGGGCGCCGAAAATGGAAGCTACGCTGCGCGCAGGCAACGTATCGTGTAACCGCATATGCGGGTGTGGGTGCGTGAAGAGCCAAAGCATCTTTTGAGAATTATATACCGTGGCTGCCCGCGCACAGTGGGGCGCTTTAAAATCAAAATAAAACGTTTTGAAGACGCTTGGAGCATGCATGTCACGGAAATACATGCAGACTGCTGCCAACGAGCTAAAGAGACCAGAACTCAGCGTCGCTAGTTCCCGCGGCAGGAGTGTAGTTTCTTATTCAGTTGGGGGAGATTCAGGCCCCCTTACAAATTGGGCCCACCCCCAACTTTGGGAAGAAAGTGTGCCACATCTAGGAAAAACCTATTTTGTAACATATTTTAAGGACAGGTTGGGCAATTTTCCTCTGTCCAGCGCCTCAAACTCATTTCGTGAGGCTACGCCGCTGCATAAGCACCAGCACCAGCACCAGCACTGTGGGGGCCGCAGTGCCGGCACTCAGCATCGCTTGCATCCGCGGTGCCGGAAGCGGTGCCAGGTGATGCACGAGGGCGTCCGATAACTAAGATTAAAAAGCCAAGAACTTGATCTTTAAAACCAGAATGACTAAATTTGAGTACACTTTTTGTCGGTTATCGTCATGTTTCATGTTCCACATAATCACGAGTGAGCCCGAACGCACTGCCACCGGCACTCATCCCAACGACACCCGATCAGGAAGCACCTGCACTTCAGTCTTTCTTGTTCACTTTCTCACTGTGGGCTTCAGTTTGCCTCCACTTTAGAAACAGCAAGCAGCAAGCGGTTCCTAAGGTTGCCGAAGAGGCAGAGATGAGCGCGCGAGAGGCCCAGAGTGAAAAGCGAGTGGGGGAGGACAGCCCAGAGAGTGTAGCGAGTGGGCGAGGACGGTCCCGACTGCGTAGCGGGTGGGAGAGGACGGTCCCGACTGTGTAGCGGCTGGGGGAGGACGGTCCCGACTGTGTAGCGGGTGAGAGAGGACGGTCCCGACTGTGTAGCGGGTGGAAGGGGACAGCCCAGCCCAGCTTATGTTCCCGTTACACGTGACGTGGGCTGTGTGAGACCTGGCGTTCTCATGTTGGACAGTGACATTGGAAACATCATTTTGGATATTTATTATCATTGGATATCATGGTGGAGAGCGACATTGAAGACGCAGAGTCCTGGTCGCTTACCCTTCATGGATCGATGGAGCCCTCGCACAACCTAAATGTATTGGCTGCTGTGGATTACCTGCCAAGGTGAAGAAAAGGGTCAAGGAAGCATAACTCATTGTCAGCAATGTTCTCCGCGGAGCGCTCCTGTATTCCGGCCATTCGGTGCGCGTTTTGAGTACTCTTTTCTCTCGTTGCACATCCCGCATGCCTTCTGTGAGCCTGTGGGGCATCCATCTAGTGTAAGCTCTGCGGCCAGGCAGCTGATAATAAATACTTACAATCTGCTCAGTGGTGCACTTCGCCCGCTCAAAAAAGTCACCATATGTATCTAAAGAATTTCACGCACAACTTGTTCAATCCCGCATTCATTCCATCCGCTAATGCACTGACAAGTCCACCAGATCATAGTACGAATGTTATTGTCCACACATTTTCATAATGTGGACCGCAACATCGACCGTTCGACATCCACTGGCAGCGTAAGCATCGGAACTTGGGCCGGACTTTGGTCTTATATATATATATATATATATATATATATATATATATATATATAATTGCTCAAATTGAACAGTTACTAGAGCTCGGGCACATCGACTACTGGGATCATTTTGCGCGCAACAGAACCGAGACTACATGGCAAAACGCCGCCACCATAACGACTAGCAGCTCCGTGAAACTGCTACCGTGCTTTTTCGTTTATCGCTTAACTATTTTGTTAGCCCAAATCGCAGATCGCTGCGCTTGTCTTATCGTGAGGTCACCTGGTTGGCGGTCTCACAAAAACAGCTTGACGCAACAGTGCAGATTCAGTGATGCACATAACAATGTTGTAATTCCCAGAAAAGATGAACCCTCCGAAGGCCATGCCTCTCATCCAGGGCGCCACAGAAGCAGAGGCAATTCAAATACCGGCGCGGCACCCGTTGATGCGTCATCTTTGCGGTTCGTCCACCGGTTAGAGCTGCCCTGAGCGCGCCCCTGCGCCCCCTCCGTCCGTAATCGGCCGGGGGCGGCCGGCCAGGCAGACCGGCAACGGCACCTGACCATCGGCCGCAGGGGCGCGTTCAGGCCCTAAAACTGGAGACGCCTCACCACCGGCAGCGTGGCGGGGCCGCCGCCAGTAGCGTTCCTCTCCTCCTCCGCCCGTCCTACCCCTCTTCCTTCCGTGTGACCATCCCTGTGCCGCCGCCTGGAGCCGGGCCTGCCGCCGCCACGACCGATACCTGGGCGGGAGCGTCCAGCCCGCCGTGGGTCGGCCGGCCGGCCGTCGCACGTGCAGGGCCGCGCTGGCCGGGCCGGGCCGGGCCGGGCCGGGCTGAGCCGGTCCGGAGCTACCGGCGGCGGCGGCGGCGGCGGCGCCACAAAGCGTGGTCTCAACCACGACAGACCAGGCGGTGGGGCTGCCGCCGGCTGCCCGTCTCCGAACGGAGGTCAAACGGCAGACGGACAATAGAGCGGGGGCCAAAGGTCGCCTTCGCGTGCCTACTGGTGGCGTCTGGGCCCGCCGAACGCGCGTGTGGCCGACGAACGCGCATGCGCGAAATGAAAAGGTTTTCCTCGCGTGCTCCTGACGCTAAGTTTTCTTTGCCGATCCGAAGTAGGTATATTCCAATAGGCTTGGAGGACCGCGAGCTTCAGTGACAGATACGGGTCACCTGTGTCAACCGTGAAAATTTTCCTTCCTTTGTGCGTTGTTATGCGTAGCCTCGCAAAAGTCAGGGAGGCTTTAATAAGCTATAGTCACTAAAAAGTCGTTAGGCGTTTGAATGTAGACCGTAGGAGTACCGCCGTACAAAGGTTTAGGTTGTGGATAGAACGTCGTGTCGCAAAACTACCTGTATAAGTGTTACGACCGTGGCATTTCCAATGCAAGCTGGTGTATTCACGGGCACACTTACCACGCCACATTCTCGACCCACGTTTGCGGAGGTCACATTCAGCCTGCACGCCTTCGAACAACAGATTACAACAGCATCTCCCGACATCTGAACAATGATGTACATCCCGCACCTGCGGCTCGCTGTAATGGCGGGCTCACTGGCGAGTCAAGAGCAGCAGTCATCGCTGAGCACCGGGGTACTGGCTTGGGGACGTTCACGACGACGACGACGACGACGCATTCCCGACGACGCCAGAGCACCACCTGCCGCGTCAGCTGGTGCCACCCGCCATTGTGCCCAGACACCACGGGTCATCCTGCCGCGGCACGCGCACGCCAGCTCTAATGGTGGGCCTTCGGTCGCCTAATGCGGCGCCCGCGCTACCTTTCAATGAACGCCGTCTCGTACGTCAGCAGCTATGGCCCGTCAGCGACTCGGAGCGCCTCACAGCCTGCACAGAGAGCTGTTACGATCGGCGTTTGAAGTCGGCCGGATCGTAAACACGTCCGTGGGATAGCACTTGCTGCCTGCATTGGCACGCTCGGAAGGGTACCTGTTGGGTTTTTAATTGGGAACTTGTGTTCCAGAATGATAACAAGCGGGCCTTGCAGCCGGCTGACAATCAGCGGAGGTCGGACACCCCTGGCGGATCGATGTCAGGAGATAGCGCGCGGGAGCTGGGTCTTCCGGGAATAAGCGCCGTGATTTAGACTTTTGACGGCGGTCTGAGAATAAAGTACGGCCAAGGCTGTTCAGCACAACGCGCCGATAATTTGTGAACGTTTGAGATGTCCGGAAATACCAAGTGATTTTGCTCAGCGCATGCAGAAGTGCTGCAGTGAGGGGCAGGGTACCAATGCTGCCTAAAGCTATCGACACAACATCGCGAGCCGTTGTCCGAAAATAGAGTTGGACGCTAGCTCTATCGCAGAATATTTGTCCTACGCCGGCTATACTTGCTACACTTGTTCCAGACTTAAATTTAACCCACATTGTCTCATGCACGTCGCAACGCTTGCACATTCAACGCGATTTTCATCGTAAGTTATTAAGTGCATTTGTGAGGAGCAGTATGCACAAGAATAAGACAGTAGTAATAGCCCTGTTCGTCAAAGAAAAGCCAGGAAATAGAAGATAAAGATGCGTTGATATTTCGACAACACTCCTTTGTCAAAATAAATAGCAGAAGTATTTTTTATAACTTCTGCCATTGGTTTTGATAAAGGCATGTTGTCGAAATATTAACGCATCCATATGTCCATTCTCCTGTTTTTTTTACGAGGAATAAGGCTAATGCTACTATCTTGTCAATATGCTTTTCATCGTCCGAATCTAGAATCAGGCTTTTACAAAGCATCCAGCTGGCATTACCCGGGACGTTTGCCCACAACCTCGACCCCTCCCTCTTCACATACCACAGTCCTCACACTTCCCCACCGGTCCTCCCCAGCCAACCCATCATAGGAAAAACAATGGGGCATAATTATTTCCTGGCTGTTTCTGAGGAAATTTGTTACAAAATCACCTTGCTTTGTATTACACGATGTTTGCTACTATTCTATCTTACTTTCAGCATCCTCGCTCCCTTTGTGCTGTTTATCTTAATAGAAGTGTTGCCAGACCTCTGAGAAAACGAGGGTTATTTTCTTTGCACCATTATGTGCTCACAATGCACCTTTTCCACACTACATGAAGCAAGGGTGTAGTTTCCAATTCAGCTGGAGGGAAGAAACTCCTCAAGTCATTGCGGAAGTCATCACCGCTGTCGACATCCTCAATGGCGGGGCTTCCATGGCAAAGACAAAGGGCAGTTCGTGCGACCTTACGCCGCATTCAATGACCTGTGGGTCATTACAAGTCAACTCAATACCAAGGTGGTGTCATTGCGCCCATACATGGGCACAATGATACCATTAACCTGAATCCGAGCATTTCAGACAATGTAACTTATGCATATGGATTGTAAAGGAAAATGCATAGCAACGGTACTTGTACCCCCCCCCCCCCCCCACATGTATTGCAAGTGTCTTTGCTGGCGCCATAAGGTCGCAACGGATGCCCATAACAACCGCAGACCGCACTGAGGGACGACGATGGCAAGCTTCCAGAGCTGATCGTGACGCGTCTACAACACTCTGTAAGTACTGAGTACTGATACCAGAACCTCAAGCTTCCAAAGCTGATCGTGATGCGTCTACAACACTCTGTAAGTACTGAGTACTGATATCAGAACCTCAATCTTCCAAAGCTGATCGTGACGCGTCTACAACACTCTGTAAGTACTGAGTACTGATATCAGAACCTCGGTAATGCCTCGGTAGGGGAGCAAAGCAACTAACGATACATTAACTTCCCGACACACAGTTAAATTGTGTCCAAGTCATAACAACTACCACAAACTCTCATGCAGACCATCGCACAAGTTGTTTTAAGTACCCCAAAGAAGCCATTTAACGCAAAGTGAGCCTTCTAGCTCGTTACAAATTACCGCCCAAAAACAATTGCCTTGCAAGCGGTGCTGGGGCTCAGGCTTCCAATAGCCTCGAGACTCGGACCCGGGTTCGATTCCCGACTGATGCTCACGCCGCTGTATGCCACACGCTCGCCTTACCCTCCGGCTGTCGACGGCAGGCCTTTGCGAGAGCGTGCACTGACGTTAACCTTGTTATCGTGTCATACTCGCCGGCACTAACCATGGGCTGTTGGCTTGAGCCGGGGCGGCGGCGGTGGCGGCGGCTGCGGCGCGGCAGCGTCGGCGGCGGCGGGCGGCGCGGCGGGCGGCGGTTGTGCCGCGGCCGGCGGCGGTTGCGCCGCGGCCGGCGGCAGCGGCGGCGGACTGACATGCAGTCGAGAGCGCAGCGTCACCAGCTCCGAGCTGAGCGAGCGCAGCCGCTGGTGCAGGCTGGCCGCCTCGTTAGAGGAGGATGTGTCTGTAACGGGACGCGGCGTCAACATCATGCGCGCTGGCGAGGAATGGAGCATGCGGGTGTTGATGGTGGACCCAGTTTTAGCAGTCGGGCAAGCTCTAAGGAAAGGCTTTGTACCAGCCCTCACACGGGCCCGCACACAATCTCTCACATAGGCCATCATACAAGCTCTCACACAGGCCATCAGACAAGCTCTCATACGGGCCATCACACAAGCGTTCACACGAGCCATCACAGCAGTTCTCGTACAGGCCATCACGTAAGCTCTTACGCAAGCCGTCACAGCATGTCTCACGCAGTCCAGCACACAAGCTCGTACAGGTTATCACATAAGCTTCTCAGGATCCTGTCGCACCGTCTCCACGCATGACGCCGCGTAAGAACGCCAGCAGCCATCGCGTGATTCCTCATGGCATCGGATAAGCCCTTATACGGTCAATATCACAAGTTATTTTCCAAGACACCATACAGACCGCCATACGAGCCAGCACAGAATTGCATGAACGTAGGTCATTACATGAAGGTAGGTTATTACATGAAGGTAGGTTATTACATGAAGGTAGGTTATTACATGAAGGTAGGCTATTACATGAACACTCATACACGTCACCTGGAGACGTCCACGGGTTACCTTCCTCCTCCAATCCAGCTACCACCCGTGGAGCTGGTATCAGTACCAGTATGTACCCTGTATCAGTATCAGCCCACTGCTCATTTCTAATCGGTTGTACCCATCTGTCTCCTACCAAGTGACCACTGTGAACTTTTCTGCCATTTTACATCCAAATATGCTCTTTTGTGTGCAAGATTAGATAAGGAGTGAGACTGAAATTAATTGGACAAAATAAGAGCAAATATTTGCATTGTGTATAAGTTACTGAAGTATTTTACGGACATTTCATTAGCGTCATACCCACACCTACAGCCGCAATTTCGTCACATCCCGTGGCCAATCCCCACCCTTTATTCATTCCACGTGGACATCGATGGGGTTGCCCAACCCGTGAATTCCTCGAGCGTCATCGCGGGATCCTTTACACGGGCTCCCGCAGCAGCCGCCACACCAGGCAAGAGACGGCCGGCCTTCCCGTCTGAACGCCGGCTCAGCGCGACGCCACGTTCCACCGCTAACATGGCGTCGCCAGGACCGGCTCGCTCTGGTACACTTGGAGCGGCCGGCCCACCGCTCACCGGGGCTACTGCCGGGACAGGGCCTTGACACCGGCAGCGGCTGGCCCACCGCTCACCGGGGCTACTGCCGGGACAGCGCCGTGACACCGGAAGCGGCCGGCCCACCGCTCACCGGGCTACTGCCGGGACAGTGCCGTGACACCGGCAGCGGCCGGCCCACCGCTCACCGGGGCTACTGCCGGGACAGGGCCTTGACACCGGCAGCGGCTGGCCCACCGCTCACCGGGGCTACTGCCGGGACAGCGCCGTGACACCGGAAGCGGCCGGCCCACCGCTCACCGGGCTACTGCCGGGACAGTGCCGTGACACCGGCAGCGGCCGGCCCACCGCTCACCGGGGCTACTGCCGGGGCAGGGCCTTGACACCGGCAGCGGCCGGCCTACCGTTCACCGGGACCACTGCCGGGACAGTGCCGGGACGCCCGGTCATCGTTGAGGCGGCACCAGTGTCATGGCTGCGATGCCCGGGCAGCTTAGGGTCTCGCTGCTGACGCAGCTGCGATTCGTCATGAAGGGTGCTCGCTGCTGATGCAACTAGGCGCATCCAACACGTGCAGGCATTTTAGATGATGTTGTATTTGACTGCTTTTGAAAGGACTTGCTCAATGCTCGTACCACGTCCGCTGTTTACACACCCGGTTATTGGGCACGCCCTGGAGAAAGGCATAATCAAAGCCATTTGGCATATCCGGTCGTCGATGATCAATCATTCAGTATGCATGTATGTAAGCAAACATTTCAGTATGCAAGCATGCATGCTGAAAAATGACAAGACCGGAGCGTCTGATAAGACGGTCAGCCAACCATTTTTCAAAGAATGATTATGTAAGTGTACTTGTTTTAGCAAAAATGCGTCGGGTCGCCGCCGCACCAAACACACCGCGTCATCAGCGCGCAGAAATATATTATCGGCAAAGCCGTTGCCCTCGGGAAAACTTCTTGGGAAAACGACAACTCAACTCCCGGTGAGGGCTTCTGATGTCTTAGGTCAGAAGTTAGGTCAGGTCAATGAGGAAGGGGTCAGGGTCAAATTGTCAACGGTTAAGAATGCCCACCTAACTAAAGACTGTAAAGCGTTCCCAGGCATTTTAAGTCAATTTGATTTAAAGATTGGCACAGGCGGAAAAATCTCGGTAGACAGTTATGCTTGCTTGGAAAACAGTGCCAAGGGCATCTGCTCCACAAGTGGCCACCTGTGTATTGGGGGCCAGTGGGTACGTGGACGCACCCAGCGCCTTCAGTGCACTGGGGTCGGCGGGTGGCGTCATTGGCGCTCTGTACGGACATCACTGCCATCTACGGGATGTCAGCAAGACACGCAATCCTACTCGTTCGCAATCGTTGATGTTCGGGCGGACCCTTTCAACGCACCGATGGAAGCATGCTTCCTTGCGGCCATACACCGGCCTCTACCTCCCGCCGCTCCCTCCTTCGCTCCCTCTTTCCCCTCCCCCGATCCTGCCTTCTGCGCGCGCCTCTGGAAAGGCGCGCATCTTTCTCACTGGCAGCGGCGCGCCGGCGGCCCCCGCTGCGCCACTTCCCGACGCGGCATCCGAGCCGGTTTTTACGTGGCGCACGTCTGGCGACAGCCGCGCAGCCGCGCCGACAGGAATAACAATGGCCGGCCTCTTGCACGGCGCCGGCCGCCCGACGACCGGGGAGGAAGCCGGGCCTAATGGTGGGAGAAACACATCGGGTTAGGGCGAGGGGCGCCGCGTAGGGAGGGGGCGCGCGCTTAGAGGCGTGTGGGCAAGCGCGTGCTGCTTCTTACCAGCTGACTGCCGGCACGGGATGACTGCGAGCAAAACCGAACGCCGAAGCCCACTTTTCCGAGATCGGCCTCTGATTGGTCGACCGCGTCGCTTGATAGCGCGGCACGCACGACGCCTCCGCGCGCTCCAGTTCATCTAGATAGCGGCGAACGCCCCGGGCGGGGCGCGTCGAGCCACGCGCACGCCAGGCCCGACCACAGTCTCCGCGGTCCATGGATCGAGACCGGGCCGTGGCCGCCGCCGGCGGAGGCAGTCACCGGCGCATCCGCACGCGCCCACGGGCTGTGACCTTGGGCCCACGAGCTCTTCATGAATAAGGCATGGTGCCGGTGCCAGCGTGCAGGCTGCATCCCAGCGCATTGTGCCGCCGCCACTGGCCACCTGGCGGACAGCGGGAGGCGGCGCGGTCGTCGCATACGCGCCGGTCACGTCTCGCCGGTGAAATCTTCCGGTGGGAGGTGCCCGCCGGCGAATCCACATGCAGCAGGTGGATTGTGTGGTGGAAGCTGAACACGGCCGGTGCGACTAAAGCAACGCTTTGTGACAAAGCACAGCGATCGTCTTTCAAAATGTGGAGTAACGTTTTTTTGTGAGAAAGGGTAGAAACCCTGTCATGCGACCTGAAATTTAACTTAAACGTTTATCTATAATGTATTCAGCAGCATCGAGTCTTCATATTCAGCGAGACGAATATGCGATGCTCAATATTTTCGAGCCGCCAAAAACTTGACTGTGTTCGGCATCCACGTTCTGTGTATGAAATACGGCCGAGCTTTTTATCCAAATGGAATGTCTGAAGGATACATACCAAAAAATAGCACAATACCAAGGTAGACGGCAAATGAGGTTGCATCTGGAGCAAGATAACCTTTACAAAATGCCACAAGAAAAGCATTTACTAATACTTATTCTTGGGAAGTTCACATTTGTGCTCAGCCAGCGCTGATAGCGGCCGATTCACCGTCGACCTGCCTATGTTCACATTTACTGCCTCTCGCATTGGCCGTAATGCCTTTACTGCGTCTCCCCCCCCCCCCCCCATTTCCGTGATGCTACGGCGCCAGAGTCCCGCCTGAGCTGAATAGAAGGAAGGCCCTGACTGTGGCGCCGCTATGATCACCTGCGCGCTGCCAATGCCGCCGCAGTACCGCCGCAGCGCTCCTAGGACACCTGCGGATGTCGATCGTGCAGCTAACTATGCTCGGTGTCTCCGAACACTATAGTCGTGTTCGCGATGGATTAACGCGTTGAAAAACCTATAAAAAGTTTGTGAAATGATTGTCGGAAATTTTGTGATGTGCTATACACAGTATACAAGATGATGCTTATGTTCGTGCAATTTCATTGTCATTCAATACTTTTGATGCTTTTTTAAAATCTCTGCAAAAAATAGCCGGAAACCGCTGATAAAGTTATACCGCTAGAAAATCACGTCGAAAAATTCAGATTGAGATAAATATCTGAATTAAAGATTCACGATGTCGGACGGCTTGTGATTAGCAGGAAACTTACTGCAACTCTAAGCCCCAACTTGAAAGTCAGTTAAAGAAGCTGACCCGCTCAGTGGGTGACTTCCGGAAATGAGTGTACCAGCTTTTAGAACCAGTAAGCCTGTAGTCTTCGTACCTCGTTTACCTTCGACCCTTTGACCCGGCCCTAATCACATTATTGCCTGCTTGACTGCAATACTTTGCGAAACTTGACGGACAGCACACTGCGGGTTTAGTTGATTCTTCTGTGAATCATAATGCTGTTTCATATTCACTGAAAAAATGGCTCAATTTCCGGGACACGTAGCATATATGATAGATAATAACCAACATACAATGTGCCAGAATCCGTGAAACTTCGTAGATTTACAATCCCTCTTTTTCAGAATAAAAATTGGCAGATGTTTGCAAAACTATGCAGATTGTAATGTGCTTTGCTTTCAGGATTGATCGACCGCGTCCAATAGCGCGTTTTTAATGTTTGCTTCGGCAAAAATCCATGTTCTGACTTATTTTGATTTGCATTGTGCATTCGTGTCTAGCACCCCAAC